AGAAAATCTATTACCCCGCTGCCATTTTGTTAAGTGTTTGCTCCCCGTTGTGACCCTGCCACTTTATCTGTTGATTTTTATTTTCTGAGTGCATGTTGCCCATATGTTACTCTAATAGTTGCTATAATTCTTGAGCAATAGGGCTCGTATTTTACCGAGCTGAATTAAAAAGAATGCACTTTAATAAAAAACCCGAGCAATACACTAATGGCTTGACATTGATGTATTTGCATAAAGATGAATTATATGGGCTCGCTTGACACGACTTTTAATAAATGATCGAGGACGTTATTACAGGGATGCACTTGGGTGTGCGGAAGCGGGTTATTACCGCGGGGCCAGTGCCAGGCGCTCCCCGCAGCCCGCGGGTCCCGGAGGGCAGCGCCGACACCGACCGGCCCCGCCGAGAGCCTCCTGCAGCCTCGGGGCCTCCGGGCAGGGGCTAAACCCCCGGGGGATGTGGAGCAGCGCGGTGCTGCCTGCTTGTGTCGTTGTATCAATATCTGTATTCTTATCAATCACGTTCGCTGGAGCGCGGAGCCGCTGCCGGGCCCCCGACGGGTGCGGGTGCGGTGCGGGGTGCGGGGTACCCGCTGCTCCCCGCAGCAGCGCCGCCCGCCCGCCTCCCGCTCTCCCGCCAGATGTTTGCGTCCCTCACGGAGACTTGTAACCGCTGTTCGAGACAGCTGGCAAACGCTGCCAGAAACACGTATCTGGGAAATACCTACCGTTGCAGAAGGTAAAGGCGGAGCTGCAATTAAGAGTGAGCGGTTCATCTTACTTTTTAATTTGCGGGCAGCGGCGCCGGCTCTGAACGCGGGATCCCGCAGCAGGCGCCGGTGCCTCTTTCCCAGAGGCCTCGGTACGGGAAGGGACTCGGGAAGGGTGGGGGAGGCAAGCCTGGGGTGAAAGCCCATCACCCGCATTTTAAATAAACCCCGGGTTCTCTGGCCTGCGGGACGAGTCGTGTCCCGAGGGAAGGGGTGTCGAAAGCAAAGCCTCGGGGCGGCTGGCCTGGGTACAACGAAAGTCCTGCACGGAACAACATCACGGCGGAAAACAGAGGGAGAGCGAGGGGAAAACGTCGTGTGCGTGATATGGGAAGCGTTACAAGTTAATAGCACCAGGAAGTGATGAGCGACAACGGGTTTCACGAGCTCATAACAGGAGACCACGCGTGAGGGGAAGGGTGGGAGAGGTCACTGATAGCTGAAATTGTCGCGCTGTCCCGGCGTGACTGTCGCTCCGAGCATCCCTCTGGCAGGGTGCAGGCATTGCCTTGCCTGCTGCCTGCTCTGAGGGCTCTGGGTGGGAATTGCTGTCGGGATGAGAGAGCCCGAAGGCCTCGGGGCTGTGACAGCGCTGGTGTAGGGACTGTCAGAGGCCGGGTGATAGTGGCGTAAGGACTGGCATCCCCCCGGCGCACATGCCTCGAATCGAGTGGGTGTTTCATTACCCCGCGGGGGGAGAGTCCTTCCTTCTCCGCTCCCTGCGGCTGCTCCCGCCCGCCGGCCGGCCGCGGCCTTCCCCTTGTAACCTGCATGCCCCGGGGCGAAGCCCGAGCTGCCGACCTCGGGGCCCTGTGGCACTGCAGTGCAGATCCTGCCCGCGTCCACATGTCCCGCATCCATATGCATGTCTCCCGCAGGCGGCAGCTGCCGGCCGGGAGCGGGGTGCGGGAAGCGGTGTGGCCCCCGGGGTCGCGTGTCCTTCCTCTCCCTCCCTCAGTCTCTCCCCACAGCTCCCCGGTGCCCACGGCTGTTGCAGGGCGCGGAGCGGGTCCTACTCCTGCGGCGCTTCTGCGAGGGGGAGAAAAAAGTTTTTCCTCCGCCCACGGTGATGCTCAGTGGGGCTGCCGAGGGACCGCAGTGGGTTCCTCTTGCAAAGCAGCTCGGCAAAGCAACGGCGTTGGAAAAGTGGGGGGAATGCCTTGAGCACCCTGGAATTGCACAGCCAAGGACGTCTCCCGCAGTACCTTCTGCACCCCAGAGAAGGCACGTGGCCGTGACTGAAGCAAAGTAAACCCAGAAACAGCCCCCTCTATTTTCCCTGCTCCGGGAAATCCCAGAAACAGCCGTTTTTATTTCCGCTGAGCCTGGAAATCCCGCGCACACACGCCGAAGGGAATGGGGGTTAAACCCAAGGGCTCTACGACAGAAAGAAGGGAAAGCCAAGAGTTGTTTGTGAAGGGAGCTGTCGGGACCGACCTGCGGTGGTCTCTCACCTCTTAGGCAGGGACCGCCCGCTTCGCTCCGCGGCCGCGCCGAAGCCCGCCTCTACCCACGCGTGTGCGCGGCCGCTTTCTCCCCGTGGGGGTTTCGGCCCGGGCTCGAGTGCGGGACGGCTGCCGGGGAGCGACTCTGCTGGCCCCCCTTCCCTACAGACATGGTCGTGCAGTACTTTTTTGATGTCGTTAGCCGGGAGCTTATACGGTCACGCAATAAATTCCTGCCTGTTTGAAGGACTGAACCGAAACCGCGGCTGATCTCGGCCGGGCCCCCGCGCACGGGGGGAACCTCACGCCCCATGAAGCGCGCTGACATTTTGTCTTCTAATTGTTCACCGCGATGTCCATGGCAGCGATCCCTAGGTTAGCTATTGAATCTCTTCCTAAAAAGTCCTTTCCTGGAGGAGAGCGAGCCCAGTCGGCTTTGGCTTCCAAAACATGCCTCGAGAAGGGGGGCCGTGAGCTCATGTGAATCCCCTGCTCTTTCCTCCAGCGCCCCAGACAAAACCAGCCTAACCAAGCGGGTAGCGTTGGGCTCTTTTCCCTGCGATTCCACTTTGACGGTGCCAACTGCAACTGGTGGCCAGCTGGGTCTCTGTGCAGAAGTAAATTAACTGGAAAGCCTCAGTTGGTGCTGCAGTCAAGTGGAAAAGGGGACGGGGAGCACCGGGGCGGGCGGCACTGGCAGCAGCCCGGGGGCACACGGGAGGGCAGGGCCGGGCCCGGGGCCGCGGCCGAGCTGCGGAGGAGTGGGGGCGGCGGAGCGGTCGCCGCGGGCGTGCGGGGAGGCCCAGCCCGGCGGAGACCCCCGGCCAGGCTCCAGGCGGCACGGGCCGGCCCCCACCCCCGTGATCTGGACCCCGCAGTATTTTGATTTCTTCCCCGTGGCCCCACAAAACCCGCGGGGAAACCGCAACGGCGAGAGCCGGCAGAGTCCACTCTACACTCCTGAAAACGCCCGGCCTTTGCCTTCCTGCCTTTACAACGAGTCGGGAAAGGTGTGGTATGGGGGTGGGAGCGTCGGTGGGCGATGGGCAGCCCCCGGCATCTCGGCCCGGGAGAACCCGGGCAGCCACGCCGAGGCAGCCTCATAGCGCTGGGCTTGCTCCCTCCTCCCGGGCTTGGCATTGTCTAAGCCAAAAGAGGAATAAAATCCTGCTCCACTTTTTTTCCCCTCATTTAGAAAATTATTCTCAAATAGAATACTAATTTTTTCTTTATTTCCTCCAGAATAGCTGGTCCTTTTCTTTCTCATGTCAGCGATTCTGTTTGCTCTGATGGTCCTTGGGAGAAAAAAAAAAACAGGATCGCTTCTGGACTGTTTAGATACGGAAATGATTGCGTCAGATAATGAATTTCAATTTAAAACAGTTGTTCTGGTATTGGGTCTAACTATTTGTTCTAGACCCTTAGTCGGGCTCTTACTTTATTCACTGTTTTCTTCTTGGAAAATGGTTTCTTTCCTATAATAAGGGCAATACTCTGCCGTTAATAAAAGCCTGCATTGGCCGCCCCTGAAAAACTTTCAACAGCCTAATTTAGGCTCAGCCGAACCGCTTCAGTGGCCGCGTGGAAAGTGCCTGTCTGCTCACATTCCAAAACAAGCCGCGGCTTATTTTATTTGTATCCTTCTTGAATCCTCACAGCAAAGTGGACAACTTTCATTTTTAAAAAATAAAAAAAAAACAAACCAAAAAGCCAACATCCCACCCCCCAAAAAACCCACGAACAGCAACGAAAACCCCTAAACAGAAGAATTAAAAAAAAAAAACAAACAAACAAACAAAAAAAAAACCAAAACACAAAACCCCCACCAAGCTACTAAGATTGAACAAAAGATATTGAAAATTATCTCTTCTTTTTTTTCCCCTCCTCCTGTATCGTAGTTTCCTTATTTAACCTCTAATGAGATGAGATTATCTGTACCCTTTAGTGAATGCAGCAGACGTCTTTAAACTGGTTTAATTGATTTATCGTTTTGTTGGGTTTTTTTAAACAGAAAGTGCATTACATTTAACTGGTCTTGCAAAGGGCTTTTCTTCTCTTTACAAACCGAATTATTTTTAATATAAATTAATAAATGTTAAGATGCTATATCACGATATATCATCGTTATTAGCTTTTAAAAAAAGAAAACAATTTACATTCTATGGTATTCCGTATGATACAAAAGAAAACACACTTTAAATTCAAATACAGCAACTAAATGAATTTTATATTTTGACTGACAGTGGTTGTGACAATTCCCACCAGCTACTTTTTCAACACGCAGTTGATTGGAAACGGCGTAAATGAAAGCGAACTCTGTCCCTCCGCCCTCCCTCCCCCTCCCCTGCACGACGACCGCAACAGAAAGTGTTTCAAAAATACTAATAAATAGCACACGGGGCCGCTGTAGTTTCGGCCCGAGGGAGGGACCCGCGGCTTTTTTCCTCGGTGGCCCCTCTGCCGCCGTCTCGGGGCTCCGGAGGTGCCCCCAGTGCCGGGGAGCGCCGGGCGGGCGGGGCAGCGGCGCCCCGGGCCCCCGCTGTACAAAAAAAAGAAGGTATTTTACATTTTAAATATTCACAGTTAAGGAACGCCTATGGTCGCGGTGACTCACGGTTTATTTACAAAAGGACGGCAGGACGCGGCCGCCGCACCACCGGGAGCGGGACCGAGGCCGGGGTCGGGGCGGCCCCCGCCGCTCCCCGCCGCCCGCCGCCCTACAACAACACGCAGCGCCGGGGGGCGGGTGCGCCCGCTGGGGCCCGCAGTCCTCTCTGCTCCCCCTCCGGCTTCTCCTCCTCCTCCCGGGCGCGTAGAGTCTAGAAAAATAGATCTGTACATCTCCGAAAGCGGCGGCGGGCGGAGAGGGCTAGACGGAGGCCTCCCCCTCGGGGGGGTGCAGCAGCAGCCCGCCGCCCCCCGGCTTGTGTTTCTTCAGCAGCTGAGTTATTTTCTCGTCGTCCGAATTGGGGTCCAGAGGCTTGTTGTAGTCGTCGTCCTCCTCCTCGTTCTCCGAGGCGCCCTTCAGCCGCTCCGTCTCCGAGTCCTGCTTCTTCTTCGCCGTCGCCATCTCCGCCGCGTGCTTCTTCCGCCACTTGGTCCGTCGGTTCTGGAACCAGACCTGCCCCCGCCGCCACCGTCAGCATCTCCATCACCGGCACGGCCGCCCGGGTCGGGTCGTGCCGGGCCGCTCCCGCCCCGCTGCCCCGCGCGTCCCCGTCCCCGGCTTGCAGTAGCGACTCCCGCTTCGCAGCCGAGCCCCGCGACACCGCTCTCCCGGCAGCTGGAGACTCCCGTCCCGGCGCCGGCCAACAGCCGACCCCAGCCGCCCGAGGCCCGCTCCCTGCCATCCTGCCTAGGGCGCGGAAACACACGTTTGGGGCTGATTCCTTCTGCAGCCCCCCTGCCCCGCCAGATGTATTTACTCTCCGGCAGGGCGCTGCCAGAAAAAGGGGGGCATTTTCATTGTAGAAGCTGCAATAATTTATTCCCAGCCATCGGGATGTATTTGCAGTGACAAAGGAGGGTGTGCAGATCAGATTGAAAGCGTGAGCACCGCCGAGAGGCCCCTCTGGCCGAGTCCGCCGAGCAAATGCCTCCCCGCACGTTCCCGGGGAGCTCAGCCCGGTCTCCCAGCTCTCACACCTCCGCTTTGCCCAAAGCCCAGAGTTTAACCAAAACGTAGAGTGCGGGTGCGACAGTGCGACACCCCAACAACACCCTTCCCCCGGCTTTCACAGCACTCCAGTCACCCCCATGGTGTTCAAAGTACACGTACCAGTCTTGCTTGGCTTTATTTGGTTCATTTTTTGTTTTGTTTTTAAAACGCTTTAAAAATAACCACCTCGTCCCCGCAGTAAGGCAATAAGGGGCAAAGTGCCGGTAACTGCCAGGGAAGCCCTCACCGTGTGCCCGCGGGTTGGGCCGCCCCGGCCCGCAGCATCTCCAGGCGACCCAGCCGGACCCCGTTTCCCCGGCGGGGCCCTTTTGTTCCCCTGTCCCCCAGCCTCGCACCGCTCCGTGCGTGAGCCGCTGCTCTCACCTTGACTTGGCTCTCCGTCATCCCCAGGGAGTAAGCCAGTCGGGCACGCTCCGGGCCCGCCAGGTACTTCGTCTGCTCGAAAGTCTTTTCCAGAGCGAAAATCTGCTGGCCAGAAAAAGTGGGTCTGGTATGTTTTCTCTTTCCGTCCTTATCCAGCAAAATTGAGCCTTGATCTGGCGAAGGGAGGGGGGAGAGAAAGGGAAGGCAGGGACAGACACGTTAATCTACGGATTTGGGAGAGCGCTTCGCTCTCAAGCGGCCCCGGGGGACTGGGGGAACTCTCTGCGGGGGAGGATCTGTAACGAAACTGCTGCCTCAGCAAGGCGGCGGCTCTGGCCTCCCGGCTCCCCCCTATTATTTTTCCTTTAAGGATCCAAAATCTGAGCGGCCAAACGACATTGTTTTCTTTAAAAGCCGCAGCCGGTGCGAGCGGGAGGTAACGAAAAGTCCAGCTCGGGGAAAGTTTGTGCGCGCCCCTAAAGCCACTCCCGGCCGCAGAGTCCCCTGCGGAGACGGCGGCGGCAGCCTCCCTTCCCCCGGGGGGCTCCGCTTTGAGCCGGCGATAACCGACTTATTACAGGGTTTCGCGCCGACCGAGGGGACAGAGAAAGCAAAGAGAACTTAAGAAACGAAAACAAAAGAAAGCGAGGCAAAGCCAAGCCGCCTCGGCCACGGCCGGGCCCGGTGCGGGGGGCCAGGAGGGTCTCGCCGCGATGCCAGGGCGAGGGGCCTCCCCAGCACCGGGAGCGGACCCTCAGTGGGGCTCCCCGGGCCCGCTTCCCCCGCTGCCCCGCGACGCTGGATACTCACGGGGGGCGCAAGCAAGGCGGGCGTCCCTCCAGGGCGGGCTCTGCATCACCCCCGGCCAGAAGATGGGCGTCCGGCCGGGCAGCTCGGCCAGCGGCTTGGGGTAGCGCCCGGCGGCCACGGCGGCGGCGGCAGCGGCGGCCCCAGGGCTGAAGTAGAGGGCAGGCGGCGGCGGCGGCGGGGGGCTGAGGCTGCCGAAGCGGGGCAGCCCGGCCAGCAGCCCGGCGGGCGCCGCCGAGGAGGCGGAGGGCGAGGCGGAGGCGAGCGCGGCGCCCGGCAGGGGCATGGAGGGCCGGCTGAGGATGTCGTTGATGCCGTGCGGGGTGGCGGCCGAGAGCTGCGGCGGGGCCGTGCCCAGCGCCGAGAGCCCGCCCGCCGCGGCGGCGGCGGCGGGAGCCTTGAGGCCGGGGGAGCCGAGCGGCGGCGAGGGCGAGGCGGAGGCGGGCGAGGCGGAGGCAGAGGAAGAGGAGGCGGGCCCGGCGGGCAGGGGGTACGCGGGGTACAGCGGCGCCTTCATCTCGGCCATGCTGTGCAGGGCGGCCAGCGGCGGGCTGCCCAGCAGGAAGGCGCCCTGCCGGGGCGCGCCGTCCATCTGCCCCAGCGCCAGCATCCCCGCGCCGCCGCCGCCGGGCCGGGGCGGGGGGCCCGGCCGGCCCCTAGCGCCGCGGGGCCCCGGCGGCCGGCCCGGGGGTGCCGCCCGCACCGGCGACGCGCATCCAGCCCGCGGGGGCCGCCGCCTCTAGCGGGGAGCTACGCGCCCGAGCGGCGGCCCCGCCGTCCCGCCGGGCATCAGTGCTGCGCCTCGCCGGACGCTTCCCGGGGTGGAAAGCGGTGCTGCTGCCGGCCGGTGTGTAGATACGCGTGTGCGCGCAGTGTCCGTGCGCGTACACGTATATACCGCCGCTCCCGGTGCCCGCGGGCAGCCGGGCGCTCACAGCGGCGCGGGGGCCGCGCTGGTCGCCCCTGCCTCCTCCCTGGCGCCCCGCATCCCTCCCGGCGCGGTTCCCGCTGGCTGGCTGGCTGTCGAGACTGCGGGCGCGGCTCGGGGCGCACTGCCGCGCCGCCCCGCTCCCTGCCTCCTTTAGCGGGGGCACGGCCGGCAGCGGGCGCGGCGGCGGCGGCGGCGGCGGGGCGGGGCGGCGGCCGGCCCTGCCCACCCGCGCCGCGCCCACCCTGTCGCCAACTTCGGGCTCGCCTGGCTCCCCTCTCCTCCCCCGGCTTTTCCGTTGTTTCCCCCCTCTTCTCACTTCTCCTCACTTTTTTCCCCCCTCTCCTTTTTCTTCTCTTTCCTTCACCTTGTCCCTTCATTTTTCCTTTCCATTTTACTTTTCCCGTTTCCTTACCTTTTTTCCTCTCCCTTTTCCTCTCCTTTTTTCTTTTCCCTTTTTATCTCTTCCTTTTAATTTTCTTTCTTGCTTTTCCTTCTCCTTTGCTTTTTCCTCTCCCCTTTACTTTCAGGTTTTATTTAAATTTTTTAAGTTATTTGTATTTCTCTACTTTTTATTTCTTTTATTCCTTTTTCCTTTTCTCTCTCGTTTCCTTTTCCTTTTTCCATTTCTCTCTCTTTTTTTTCTTTCCCCTCTCTCATATAATTTTTCGCCCTGTATTTTCCTCCTCTTTTTATCTATTCATATCACCCTCTCCTTCCTTCCTTCCTTCCTTCTTTTTCCTTCTTTTTCCTTCTTTTTCCTTCTTTTTCCGTCTTTTTCCTTGTTTTTCCTTCTTTTTTTCTTTTTCCTTCATTTTCTTCCTTTTTCCTTCTTTTTCCTTATTTTTTTCCTTTTTCCTTATTTTTTTTCTCCCTTTTTCCTTTCTTTCTCTCAGTGTCACTGTCTCTGTGCCCTGGGAACGACTCCAGGGAGCGGAGCTGCTCGAGTTCCTGCTGGGCCGGGCCTGCCTCAGTGCCTCCCAGGGATGCGGGTGGTGCGGTCCGACCCGACTCTTCCTGCACGCCTCTGGACCGGCGGGGGTGCTCTCTGTACCCGCTGCACGGTGGAACCGCGTGTTTGTCCCGCTGGGCCGGCCACTGACCGATGTTGAACACTCGAGCCCCTCAGACACTTGTCCCAAGCGTCCCCGGCTGCTCGCGGCTCTTCCCGTCGTCTAAGGCTAGAAGGGAAAAAAATCCCATGTAGCCCCTAAAGAGCGTTCCACGGAAAGAGGAGTGACGCAAAATCACCCTAAACAGTTTTTATCCTGTGCTGTCTGTGCCCGAAGTACAGGCTTGTACCTGTGGGGAACACGATTTCCTCGAGCGCAGAAAAAGGGGATGGTGTGAATTTTTAAAAAATATTTCTTAGCTGAAGCATGTTGATCCTCTACCTGCGACGATGTTTCCTTCTATTTTTAAATAATCCCTTGTTGCTCGGAATTCTTTTAGGTTAATTTACAAAGGTGCAAAAAAAAGGCACTTGGGGAAAGGGCGCGTAGGGCAAGATCTTGCCTTGCCTTAACTTTGGCACAGCCACACGAAGGGCACCTCCGGGAAGCTCGAGTTAAGTCTCCGAGTTTGAATTTATTATTATTATTATTATTATTATTATTATTATTATTATTATTATTATTATTATTTTGTCCTTGGGTTACTCCTCAATTATTCTAAAAGTAAAATCAAAAAACAAGTCCTTTTCCTGCCTGTTTGAGTGGAGCCAGCGAGCTCTCGGCCGAGGCAGCCCCGCACGATCGGCCCCGCAGCCCCGGGCGCGCCGAGGCTCGGCTCAGGCAACGGGCATGGGGAGCGGGGAGCCTGCCTCTGAGAGCGACCGATTTGCATTTGAATTAGGGAGAGGGGAGAAATACTAAACCGAGTTTGGAAGCCGTGAGGCAGGCGCGGGGCGGCCCCCCTACGTGTCCAGCACGCAGGGGAGCCGCTTTTCCCCCCTTCTGCAGAGGAGACGGTGCGGGGACAGGGGCCCCGCCCACCGACCCGGCCCCGCTGCCTCCCTCCTCGGAGCGTCCCGAGGGAGCTCTGCCAGGGCAGCGGCGGCAGCTTCGGCCACGGGTCCGCGCTGGCGGCGGGGGAAAGCGGGGCCTGAGCCCGCATTGGGATCGTGCGGGGGCTGCGGTACCAGCCCCGAGCTCGGCCCGTGGGCAGCGGCACCGCCCGTTCCACTCGCTCCTCTCCTCCTTCCCGGCCCGGGCGGGAGTTCACCGCTCGGCGCCACTGGGCTTGTTCTTCAGGGGAAGCAAAACAAAACGATCTCTCCCGCACAAACTCTTCTCCTCCTTTCCTACTGTAAGGAACGGATGGCATCTTGAAAAAAACGGGTGGTTCTTTGGGGGTCGCCTCGTGCAACTTCTTTTTTTAAAAATAGCATCGCAGGTTGGATGGCGCCCACAGAGCTGCCCGTGCATGAGGAACGGATTCAAAAGCAGCCGTCAGCGTTACTTCCTCTCTGTCTTTAATAACTGTCAACCAGAAATAGTCGAAAATATCAATATTTAGTTCATTTTCCGTACTCAGTTTCTGTTTTCCCTAAGCTGTAGCCAGGCAAAGTTACTCAGAGGGCAGCCGGGGGCCGTGCTGTGCCGCTGAGCAAAGGAGCAGCGAGTGGGGGGCACCGTGAGCATCCAGGCAGCGGTGGGGGTGAAAACCATCCCAGCAACAAACTTCACTAATGGGGTGAGCAAACCGCAGCCTGAAAACGCCGCAGCCAATCTACTCGAGCAGATGGGATTTGGATTACTGGGCGGACCCGCTGCTCACCAACACCCGGCTGCGTTTCACCAGTTTCACTGGGTCTCATCGTAAACGCTTCACCGCTGCAGATAAAGCAACTACCCAGCCAAATAATGGAGGGAGCAGCCGCCGGGCTAGCGGGGGGGTGCGGGCGGAGAGGAGGAGCGAGCGGCCGGCCCGCGGCCGGGGCAGCGGGGAGCAAGGGCGAGCAGCAGCCCGGGGGAGGCAAAGCCACGAGAGGAGGGCAGCTCCCCTCTAAAGCCCGCTGGGCCTCGGGGAGGCAGCACCTGGAGACCCCGGGGGGTGGCAGGGCAGCCGGGGCGGTGGGGGCCCGGCCAGCGAGGGGCGGGGGCCGGCGGCAGGGAGGGGTTGAGGTGCGATGGGGACCCCGGTCACTGCGGACGGAAGCGAAGAGGAGGGATGAATGAAGTCAGAGGTGCACAGAAGAAGCGTTGTCAGAAAAAAATGTGGTTATTTGTTTGCTCGTTCGAGGCGTAGGAAGTACGAGTACTGGTGCAGCTCTGCTTCCGAAATTCACCTCGGCCGGAATGGTCCCAGCATACCTGAACGGAGAAAACAAAAACAAAAACAAAAACAAGAAAACCCAACCAAACCATGATGACACCTAAAATTAAAAGGTCCAAAGTGCTTTGGCACTGCAGAGTCAGAGGTTCCTCAAGGTGATGAGACAAGACTCGCACTGCAGGTCAGTGCACCGCGCCGCCTGCGAGGTCCAGCTGTGCGCGGGGTGCTGCCTCCGAGGGAGCGCTGTCTCTGCCCTACACTGAGCTCTTCCAGCCCTCCAGCAGCGGGGACGGGGACTCCAACCCTGCCCAGCTTTTGTCCCGATAAGTCATCGTGACTGGGAGAGGGAGCTGTCTGAACTAAACCAAGTAGTTCCTTTATTTAGCAAATAAAATATTTTACCATATGTTCCTCATTGCAAGCAAGCAGTCGGTTACTTTCCTAAAGTAATGTATAGGCATTTAGACACCTTTTTGTTGTAGCAGTACTGTAAAGCCACTGAATCATTTGTTGCCTGCCCTACGTGGTGGAAAGGAACTGAGCCAGGAAAGCCTAATGTTCTTCTGGGTGCTAATTCCAACTCTTAATCAAGATCTGATTACCAAAAAGGAAGACAGAGCATAAAAACGCTATAAAGATTTAAATTTTTTCTATCTTGCCCATAATTCACTCCACAAATGTGTCCATTATGGCATTCACTCTAGCAGGAAAATTGTGATGTTGTTGCAAGATTCCCTACAGCAGAGCTGCTGCCAATGATGATGAATAATCTCGGTCCATATGCTAGCTCTATACATCTCTATTGTACCAGCCTGCTCTCATTCTCTTTCTGCTTCCTCAAAAACATGGAATATCTGAAGAACAGTAAAAGCTAATTAAAAATAGTTAATAGGTTAATCAGACTTGGTCTTATATTTATCTAATACAGAGTGCTGATTCTTTAGTGATGTAGCTTGAGGCATTACCACGAGCCAAGAAAATGAATCAGACATTTAATGGAGATGTGGAAACGGAAATTTCTTGTAAGACTACAAAATCGTAGGCCAGTAATACACTAAAATATAATAAAGTTATCATTAAAATTCCACGCATGAAATGCCATCCTCTGTGTCCTCTCACTAGGCAATAAACTGAGACAAAGCCGGCCAGAAAAATTTTCAGGAGCCAGGCCTTTGGGTACATCTCACCTGCTTTTTAGCATTCTTGTCCCAGAGTGTCTGCCTGCAGATCTCTGGTGACAGCTAAAGTCAGAGGCGTCACTTCGCGGGCGACCCCACTGAAGACTCCCTGGTTTGCTCTTCAGAGTGCCAAGGGCCATGAAACGCTGCCAGCTCTAGCTGGAGGTGTACTGGAGACATCCTCCTAGGACTGGTACCGCTCTGCATTACTTACGTGTTCTGACCGCG